GGGATCGAACTCGGGAACTTGTGCTTGTGAGGCAGGCACCAGAACCACTGAGCTAAATCCTCAGCCCTAGAGGTTTTTGTATTTGAAGAATTTACACTTAACATATGTAAAATATATAAATATATTTATACTGCAAGACAGTTTATAGTCAGCACTATAAAAATGACAAGAGAGATTATCACTGATTAGAGACGGTTCTAAAAATGAGTACATCCTTGGCTTAAACTCTAGGTCCTTTGATCTGGTAGTTCCTGGTTTGTTGTTCCTGGTGTTACCCTAATCAGACTGTGTTTTGGTTTGGACTGGGCTGTGTATGTTGCTATCAAAAAGAATAATGACTCTACAATTATTTTTTTCTCATTTTATATTTTCTCTAAATTTACATTGTTCAAAATTAAACACTGTCTATTTTTGACAACAATTTTATTAAGATTTTATAACTTTAATTTTGTATTAATTATCTTAATTATATAAGCATGTTTTTAAAAACAAGGCATAGGCTACTAGAGTAAATAGTTCATTAATTTTTATGCCAGTCTAGGTGCTATTTACATGCATACAAATGAAACTAAACTACCCCAGGGAGCTTTCAGGGAGTCCATTCAAAGCCATGAATGAATGCAAATGATAAGGTAACATCGTATGAGTGTAAACCATAAACTTTGGAGAATAAGCAATCCAGGCAGAAGAACCCTCACCCCTGCTTTATTCATAACGGCGCGATCCTGGCATTTCTATTCTCAGGTGATGCCAGCTGCTATTTGTAGGTGCTCTATGAAGATCAGTGTGCATCTGGGATCAACCTGCCAAATGTGCAGAAAAACGACTCTGCTGGATCTTTATTAAGAGGAAATCCACAGGGCTTTCTGGGCCTACTGTGTTTCTAATGCTTATTGCCACCATAACCAAAATCGCTCCAAATTGAGAGCAACCGTATTTCAACCTCTGCGGAGCCAGCGATTGATTGTACCACTAAGAAAGGGAAAGTATTTCCAATTAAAGTATGACTTTTCATAAACTAAAATTTCATCCCAATTGTGATAATGTGAACTGTGAAAAATAGAAAGCTGTCTTGGAGTTGTTGAAATCTGACACTGCTTTTATCAAAGTGCTGCTAGTGTGAAGGTAGAGCTTAAACACTCTTCGCAGAGGGGCATTTCAGGTAGAGGCGGGCATTTCTGAGGGGAATGGGAGCTCAGGGACCCATCTCTCCCATGACCACTCCAGAGAGAGCACTGTCAGAATATTAGTCCTAACCTAGTAGGGTGCATGAGTCTGCAGCCTCTGTGCCTAGACCTTCCGACATTTAATTGCTGCCAGTCTTTTAATATGATACAGAGACATAAGATAAGAGCCCCTGATCCATGTTTTAATACTCTATTATTTTATTAACATAGTATTTCTTTAATAACCAATTTATTGAAAGTAAGAGAAACAATACAGGACTTCTTATTAGATGCTAGATTTAATAAACAGGTTTCTTGAAATAAGTCCTAAAAAAATATCCTTGGTCTCCTGAGAATCTTATCCTCTTCCAAAATGACACTTTCTTAGCAATATCAAAGTGACAGTGGAGGACTTTGGAAGGAGCTAGCAAGGAATAACTCTGATATCCCGCGAGACTCAGAATTTCAATTCTTGCCACACGTACATATATTTTGTTAATTAAAGCAAAGAATCTTCAGATAAAATGTAGTGCCCAGGACTTGAATTTTAATAAATGCAGATGAGACAAATGTGAGAATAATCAGCTGAAGTTCGAGGCCCGGATATTTGTCTTGTCTTTGCTTTTAAATTCATCAGCTTTTGCTCAGCTGTAACAGAAGCCTCTGGAGTAAAGATAAAAAGCAAAAAACACGATTCCAGGAATTAGAACTAATGAATATACTCCATATACTTTGGATTTTATTGTGAGAAACAGGATGAATTCCACGGAGCCAGATATTTTTAAAAAAAGATGCACTTGCCATTCCTCTTCCCTTTTATTTCAACTCTGTGAATACACTTGTTTGTACGTGTAGCAATCTGAGTTAATATGTGTCCTCAAAACCTACTTGTAGGACTTACACCCTTCAAATATACATGACATATTTGGAACATGAAACACGGAACATGAAAACATGGTAGACAGCATGTCTTTCCACACAAGGGAACGGGGGGTGCATCTTTTGAACCCTAACATCCTTAAGTTGCTCACATCACTTTCACCTTGGTAAACTAAATCCTGTTATTCACTACTGTTCATTAGAAAGGGCATTTGAAATAATACGGAAAATAGTACAAATCTTGTACTTGCCATTGTCAGAAACTGGCCCTTGTGCCTCGGTATTGGGCTTGGTGCTCCTGCTGCTGCACCAGTCTCAAAACAGCGAGGGCAACTGATGGCTCACCATCGAGGCTAACATCACGTCACCAGCCTGCAGGACAGAGCTCGCCACAGAGCAGATGACCAACATAGGAAAATACCGATGGCTTCGTTTCAAGAGAACCGGCCTGGGAAAATCCTGGCTTCAAAATGATACAGGCCCTACCAAATTTGAGTGCTAGCTAATCACACTGAGAAACGGCCCTTAAAATTTAGTTTTTCTTACATTTGGGAAATTTTGGCTTGTAAACTTTTTTGTTCACTTGAAGGCAATACAGTAACTGTTTTACTCACAGGAAGTAATTGTACAGATTCGTGTCATTCACTGTGACGTTCCTGTGGATGCATACTGCGCACAGCAATGATACCCAGTCATTCTGCCCATCACCCTTGGTACCCTTTCCAGGCCCTTGTATCACTATTCCACTTTCACGTCAACTTTCTTCAAGTTTCTACACGCGAGAGAAGATGTGGTGCTTTTCTTTCTGTGTCCTGGCTGAGTTTTCATTATGTGATGTCCTCCAGCTCCGTCCATTTTGCTGCAGATGAGATTTCATTCTTATCTAATGGCAGAGCAGCACTCCCTAGGGTGTGGATATGTGCTACATTCTTCATCCACCCACTGACAGCATCTAGGCTGGTTCCAGATCTCCCACTATTGTGAATAAGGAAGCAATGAACGTGGGGGTGCAGCTGTCTCTTTTGTAGACTTCCCTCCCTTTTGATCAACACCCAGGTGTGCTGTAGCTGGTTAGGGGAACACCATGTGGCTCTCCATGGTAGCTGTATGAATTTACACATGCATCACCAAGGTACAAATGTTTATCAGATTGGAAATGGGACTATTTGAAGAGCTTGCAGAATGTTTTGGCAAACACCAGCTATGTTCAGATACAGCCAGCGAAATTCAAGACCAGCAATGTACATACTGGTCTGTAAGATCCATCATATAAAATTTCAGTTGTTCAGAACTTTAAAGATAATTGATTTAACTCCTCTTTTTCATATAAATGCTTTCAAAAATAGCTAAGGGGATAAAGTGGCTTGCTGTTGCCTAAAAATTGATATGTGCCTACATACATGAATGCTTTTCATGTGTGTAGGCATCTTGTATTTTTTAAAAATGATAATGAATCAAAGAATTTCCTAAATTCATTAATTTTACAACTAAATCTGTATGGATGTATGACTGGGTGTGACTACTCTTAGAACGTGAACTAGAATTTATTTGTGCACCAAAGTGACAGATTTTTAAATGGAACCTTTTGGTTGGAATAGTGAACAGTGACTCCCGCACATAAAAATCAAGTAGATTCCAAAAGGAGTGTCACTGTTAGTGTTTATACCACTGTCTGAATAGAAATCAGAAGATGTTCTCTTAGTTCTGATTACATGGTATATGCAATGTAAATGCACATTGCAAATAAAGGTTACACAAAGGAAACACATTATCTGCCATGTAGTAATTATGATCCTGTTGGTATTTCCACATTCAGTCATAATCATTGCTAATTTAAATACAATTATATGTAATTTATTCACTCAAGCATTTATGGAATACCAGGAATTCCTGAGAGTTCTACATAATGTCAGAAAAATGTTATATTCTAGAAGAAATTCTAGTGAAAGAGAGTATGTCTTCATATTTGGCTTTCCTTTTACCAAACTAATATACTACAACAATAAACAAGCTCTATCAATATTTCTACTGTATTCCACCAGCATCCCTGACCAAAAACATTTTTGGGCACCCTGTGAGTTGAGTGCTATCCTAGTCTGAATATTATTGCATATTCTAAGACTGTAATGCATTGTTGGGTGCAGAGGGAAAACCCCCAAAAGTTATGATAACAATCTGAGATAGTCTATATTATGGTTAATGAAGAGAAGAAAACATTTCTGGGTTTTGGACCACTGAAGAAATTATAAAGAATCATATATTTCTTTGGTTTTTAAAACTTATTCTCATCTCTGTCTCTTTTCTTTTCCTTTACCAACTTCCTAATTCAAATTCTTTTCATTTTCTTTTTGAACTGTTTAAATAATCTCCTCAATTATTATCTCGATCAATGATCCTCTCTGAATATTTGCACCACACAAGTTGTTATAGATTCTGCTTTGGTCACAGAGCATAAGCTCCACCTGCTTTATTTGACATTTAATGTAACTCAAAACTTTAACTGCTATGGTGCTCATCTCATTTAATATTGCTCCATCAGGAAGAAAATGCAGAATTTCTTTTCTACTTATTGCAAAAAGAAAGTTGAGAAGAAGAATCTTGAAGGAATATTGTAATGTGCGAGAGTCGGCAACCCTTGCAGCAGTGTACTGTATCTGAATTCAGAAATGCTGGGGATGAGTACCTGCCTGTTTTGTTTTATAAATAGACTGTGGCAAGCTTTGAACTGCCCGCACTGTTTTGAGCTTTGAGCAAAAACACTGCTGACTCATGGAACCACCTTCCGCGGTAATGTGAGTTATAAAAGCACAGGGCTCCGTGGGTCCATTTGAAGCACTGCATTAGCCAAGCAGGTAAAAGACATCTTCCCATCTACATCCCTTTCAGTCCTTGGAGGAGAATTTAAATACCCATTTTTTCTTCACCCTAAACAGACGAATGCCACTATTCTTATTTATGGAGATGGTGTTTTATTATTTCAAAGAACAGAACAAGGCCAACAATATTCATTTAATTTTCAATCATCTATAAGAAAGGAGGGCTAATGCATGAAACGCAGACTCACATTTCATAGCTTTATAAATCGATGACTTGTTTGAGCCCTCAATATGTGCGGTGTTTTTCTCAAAAACATATTCATGGTAATAGGAACTATCTTATATATTCTATTTTTTTGTTTGTTTGTTTTGAGAGGATCTCACTATGCATGTAGCCCAGTCTGTCCTGGAACTCACAATGATCCTCCTGCCTCAGCCTCCCAAGTGCTGGGATTCTAAGTGTGTGCCAGCACACCCTGCCTATTTTATATATCCTAAATTAGTCATTATGGCTTTGCTTGGCTACATACTCATTTCCTTTTTTTTTTTGGTAGTGGAGATCAAACTCCAGACCTTTTGCTTGTGAAGCAGGCGGTGGAACCACTGAGCTAAATCCCCGCCCCTCTCCCCCCATTTCCCCTTTGATGGAACCATCAACTGCTACAATGCTCTCGTGTTCAGTACTGCTGCATGTGCCAGAACTTTCAGATGTGCACCAAATGCTTTCTTGTGGAGCGATCACCGTTGCCTTTCATATGTTTACTAACGAGATGGTCTATCTGTAGGGGAATCCGTGAGACGTGGGGCTTTACACACACAGAGACAGGGACGGGGTGGCAACGTGAGTGAGGATAACAGGAAAGAGACCCAGCAGGCTGAGCAGTGGGTGCTGGGGGACAGCCGTGGGTGCTGCTCACTCAACCTCGTGCCTACAGAAAGGTGACGACGCCCGTGAACGAAGCTCACAGCATTTGCTCACCTGCGGGCTGGAGGGGGAGGCTGCAGGGACCCAGAAGGTGATTGGAGTTCAGCGAGGGGAGCACAGCAGCTGCTGAGGGAGCGGTGGGCAGCTGACCACTGTTGGGCCCTGGCCAGACCTGCAGATTCCAGAAAGAAAGCTCAGGCTGGACTTCATATTGAGGTGGGAAATTACGGTACTCAGCAGAATTACAAAGACACAGTGTGTGTGCGTGTGTGTGTGTGTGTGTGTGTGCGCGCGCCTGTGTTCACGCACGTGCGGGCGGATGTCCATAATTTGTCTGGATTGAAATATGGCAAAGAGTAACGTGCTAATAATTGTTATTTACTAGGCGAGTGAGCCATCTCCAGATTGGGGATGTGAGCCGCGTTTAATGTGGTGGGAAGTCTGCTTCCCTCCCAGGCCCGTCTCTAGGCTCCTGTTTAGGGCTCACCGTGGTGTGGGCACGGTGCCCTTCACCTGGAAGAAGAGCAAGTCAGAATCAGACCTTTTCATTCTAAAATAGCTGCTTGACTGTCAGTGAAGGAAATGGATAGGTGATCCTGAGAGTGAGTGGAACTTTCTTGAGTGACTGTGTGCTCAGAGTAAATACTGAGAAGGAGGGAAGGGGAAAGACAGATGAAAAGAGAGACTGGAAATTCAACTGCTTTGCCTCAAAAGTAAACTTAAAGATTGAAAGGATTTCTGGAAAACAGAAAGAAAAACCTGACCTATTTCTGCTTCTTACCTAATCCAAACAACTGCACTCATCCTAAATAATTTTTAACTTTTTTGAAAAAAAATGTATGCAAAGCCTCTTGGAAATATTTGCAAATATTCAAAACATAGTACTGTAAATTCTTCCCAACACAGCACATTTCTGTTTCAGTATATACGTATACCTTACAGTGTTATATATGAGACACAATCATGCCATAGTCATGTAATACATGTTTTTTCAAATAATTAAACCCATGTTTATATCTCAGATATCACTATTCTTCTCATCTGCTACCTTTGCAACAGTTCCCACAAAATGCCCAGATTTTGGCATTAACTCAATTATTTACGTAATTAAAAATTGTATGTATTTCCCTTTGATTTCATGAAGGGGATTCACCATGCAGTGTCCATCAGGATATGAAGGAGAATTTCATTTCTGAGAGTCTGATGTGGGTGTGCATCATTCTGCGTGCTCTGTCTTTACTCAGCCCACTCCACCACTCGGATAGTTGGTCACCAGTCTCCTCCTGCTCCTGCCCTCTCATGCCCACTCTGTCTTCCTATTTCTGCTGTCACTCTTTGAGACAGCCCCTTGTCATCTCATGGCAGGGTCCCTGTCACAGAGCCCTAACAAGGTGCTCTGCTGCATTTTCCTCCCCCCATCACCTATGCTCTGTTACACCCAATGCTATTATATTACTTATGCAGAATTTACCTTCAGTAGTATTTCTCCTGTGGGCCATAAAGCTGCACAGTGTTTGAGGAGATCTAGTTCTCCAGAGCAGAGGGATGCTGGAGAAGATTGTACACGGAGATGCACCTTTGCCTGTGTCTTTCTTTGGAACCGGTAGAGTTCACTCGGGGACATGTTCCAGGGAACAGCTATCTTCTGAGCAGGTCTAAACATCCGTGGCCTTTCCGTGCAATAGTGAGCAAACTGAGATCAAAGCCCCAGGATTTGTAGGCGATGAAGTCATTGAGAAACGGATTTATACTTCACAGGGGAGGAGCTGCTGTGCCAACTTGGAATCATTTTCTAAGCCTTAGAGAGCAGAATGAGGGAGGGGTGCATTACTTAGTACCGTTCCAGTTTCTGATGATGGAAACAGCTCAAATCTAGATTCCACGGCTCACATGGCAGAAAGGCTTACGGGTGTCTTTGGCATTAGGTTGTGCTGAGTTAAAAAGGCTGCTTGAGAACATTAGAAGTCCAGCTCCCCCTTTCTTTGTTTTCTTGACTCTCTTCCCTATGAGCCCCAGGAAGTCCACCCCTTAGTGCTGAAGGATACAATGCTGCTGTCTTCTGATTGTTACTCCTGGGGTTGCCACTGGTGGGTCTGGCAGGACAGGGAGCTGCAGTGGTGGTGTGGACCCCCCCTCCATGCTGGGCTGGATTCAGGCTATCTCAGGCAAGCCAGGTAAAGGAAGGACAGCTCCGCTCCCCTAAAGGAAAGGCAGGAGAGGATCTATTACACAAGAGTGCTGGGGCTGTTGAAGTTCAGAGAAGTCTTTTCAGCTTCTCAGCTAAATGCTGCTAATAGTCCTTATTAAGTGGCTTAAGCAAATTTAGCCATGAAGTTGCATTCTTTTAATGAATTTCTGTAGCCTCCACTGGTTAGAAAGAAGTATGTTGTGTACCCTCAGCCCCATAACTTTGGAATTGCAACCTGTGAGTCTGTGTAGAGAAAGCAACACCCTTATCAGAGTCTTCTAAACTACAAATACATATTGTCAAGTCCTCACCAAATCCCCATGCAGTTCTTTCTCACAGCTCAAGGACAGCTCTCCTCTTGGTGTCAGGCCTTGACAGTTTCCTCTGGGGCAAGTGCAATGATATTGTTAAAGCAGCATTAATGTTAATAACCCTTCTAGGGGTTCAGGTAGCAACTTCATTGTTGCAACTGAAGGTAGTAGGAATCATGGGGCTCTGGACCTCAGTCCCAGAGTCATTATTCTATGCAAATGTCCCAGATCCTTCTGTACAACTGCTTACACTGAATACCACTTATTTTATTTCACTAATGAAATATTTTTGTGCCATAGACTCCCTGGTGAGACTTTGATTGTGACATCTGGCATTCTTATCTCCCTGCACTGTGGTTTATTCCAGTTCCGGGATGTCTACTTTCCACTGGGCTGCACTCTACCCTACCAACTCCATGTCTGCCTGGCTCTCTGGAGCTCTGAACTTTGGAATCATAGGAGACAAAGAAAAGAAATGAGCCAGGGATAAAGGATCAGAAGTGAGTTGTGCTGTTGATAATTCTGCAAAGAGCAAACAGACAATGGCTTAGTGCCGTGCCCTTGAAATACCTGTCAGGCCTCTCCCTCTGGCATAGGAGCCAGCGATGACCTGCGAATCAGTTCAGGTCAGAGGGCACAGCCAGGATGACAAACGCTGGCTTCTGTTGTTTGTTCACACTCGAGCTGGCTCTCCAGTGGCTCTTCTGGGTCAGACGCTGGCTGGCAGTGGTGTCAAAAAGGGAGTGTGGTCTTTCATCTCCTGCGTTCTCATCTTTCTTTCACTCTGTCCGCCCTTGCTGCCAAGCAAGAGCATGTTTATGAGTCCCAGTCAGATCCTTTTTTCCACCTAACAGCTAAAGATAGAACTGTTTTACAAACCAAAGGCGAATGTAAACACCCTTGCTCAAGGCGACTAGTAAAAGTAGAGCTCTGTGTCCTGAAAGGTCTATGTGAAGTAGTTGCGCATCATTAGCTCGGGAGATGGCTGAGTGTGAAAGGCTTCTTTTATTCCTGAAGGACCCAGAGGACCAGGTCGGGAGGAGGTGGCCCTTGCACGGCACTTCCAGAGACTCAGAGCTGATGCCCCCAGGAGGCCTCAGAGAAGCCCAGCCTCAAGAGAGTGGCCCAGGCGTAGCAGGGGCCCTGGTGGCCTGTTTGCTTGGATGCATGTTTGTGCAAACTTGTGCTGACTTCCTTCCTTTGGAAGGAGCTGTACGGTAGCTGGAAAATGGGTCAGGCTTTAAATCTCACGGTCGTCACCCCGAGAAGCGATTGGCAAGTGGCTATCGTAGCAATGGACAGACAACACAGTAAAAGGGGCACCTGACGGCCATGTCAGGTAGGCTGCTCATGCGGCCTTCAGGTGGAGCCCTGGAGAGCAGAGTCCAAAGTCTGTCATCTCGAATCTGTGAGTGTTGCCAAGAGCCCTGGCCGTTCTCGGAGAGAAGGTGATAAGCCTCCTAGGAGAGACAGGGCTTTGCTTTATGATGGTGTTTTGTTTCCATGTATGATAGGAGAAGTAGAAATGAAATAGAGGAATTTTCAGTATGCAAATTAATCTCTCCACAGATTTATACTGAGCAGCTGTGATCTTGAAATACACAGCTTTGGTCTTTCCCTTCTTGGTTTGATTTGAGGTGTTTCTTCCTCACACTGAGCTCTCCTTGGGTCTCTCTCTGCCCTCCCCTCTGCCCCCAGTCTGTCCTCCTTGCTCTGCATCTGTGGCTGGTGCTGACTCTGTCTGTGTGTCTGGCTCTCACTCTCGCTCCTCTCTGGACAGGAGGGCTGCTACTTTCACTATTCTGCTCTCTGCCTCATGTTTTCACTTGCTCTTGGGAGCTTGTGTTTTGCAACCAGGGCTGGGAAGCAGGTGTAACGCAGAGCCTTCCGTTCTGAGGAAGCTTCTGAGGCTCACACTCTCTGCTTCATCCTTGCCCTACAAGGACTTGGCATTCTCTGCACAACCATGGGGAGCTGAGGCCACGCGGGACCATCTGCTCTGGCCTGGCTGCCCGCTGTGCCCTGTGCCTCTGCTTGAGCTGGCAACGGCACCCAGGTCCCGGCCTGGCCTGCTGGCCGCTCTGTGCACACGTAGACACAGGCCCTCAGACCACTCCAACCCTAAACGCCCTTCGTCTCGACTCCACTCACTTTATGTGCAGACTTTTCTGACTCCACGGTCCTTGTTTTGTTCTTTATAAAACAAATAATAAGTGCGTTGTGAATGAATCTGGGTGGTGCGTGGTGCAGAGCAGGCGTCCGCAAGATTCTTTCAGTGTTTCTCAGAAAGTATTCGTGTGTCACCTACAGATGCACACACACATGCACACACGCACACGCGCGGGACCCTTCTTCTGTGAATCTCTCGCTCCATTTGTTTCCCTCCCCTGCTGAAGTGACTTAACAGATAAATGTGTGCGGTTCAGGAGGTGGTGAAGGCCTGGCCTGAGTGCGTGCAGGGCCCTGAGGCGAACCCCACTCTCCCTTACTGTGTAAGGACTGCTCCCCCGCTGCTGTTGTTCCAGGTGGTTTGTAAAGAATGACTTTGGGCCTCCTGGGCCTCTGGAAGGCCCAGACCCTTCTCCTGGCTACTTGGCATCTGTATTTACCTCACTGGCCTCCGGACATTTGAACTGATTTCTAGAGCAGTCCTGAGAGCTGGGGCCTCGGGCTGGGTGCGGGTGACAGCAAAGCGCCAGGCCTTGCTGCAAACCACCTCAGCACCTAGTGTGCAAAGGGGAAAGCAGAAGCGGAAATTTCACTAGAAACTCATGGCGGAAGTGTAAAAAAGTTAATTTTGTGGTATCTTGACCCTTCAGTAGACATCTTTGTACTCTTCTATGTGACAGAATGGGAAGAATTCATTGAGCACTTTGGCTATGTGAACTTGGTCTTGAAGAAAAATGCTCCTGCAGTTGTTTGAGTTGTGAACTGCACGAGGCAATTCTTTTTGCACAAAACTTCATTTTCACTTGAAAAAAATGTATAGGCACGCTGTCACTTTTAGACTTGGTATTTTCAGACATCTTCCTGAAGCTGAACACAATGGGTTAGCTGCTTCAAAGAAGGCAGCTCACAGTATTTGCTGTCAATAGGAAATTGGAGTTTTCAGGTCTTTTCACGGTGGAAAGTTCATATCTGCCATTGTGATGTTGATGGCGTCTCCATACTTGAAGATTTTTGCTCACAAAATTGAGGGTGATATTAATAAATGTGACTTTTAAATATGCATTGTTTAGTGAAATGGGCCAACATTTGGAGTATCTCCATCAGTCAGCCCATGGTTATTTTCAGATTATCAATGCAGCCTGTTATAAGATTATTCAAGGACAAAGCAGCCATTCAGGTTCCAGGACACATCCATTGATGTTAATGTTACAAAATTTTGGTATGGTTTCAGATCTCACATTACAACTTAACTCTTAAAAACCTGCTATTTCAGCTTTGGTGTAATATCAAGGTATGTTAGAAATCTGTTAAAATACTCCTTTTTCTGGGCTGCTACCTGGGTGAAACTCTGTTACATATATATAAAGTCATCTCTTAGCATGTGCAAGGCAATAGTTCTAGGAACCTCGCAAATGTCCAAATGCGTGGAAACCAAAGTCCTTTATATGAAATAGTATATGGAATAGTATTTGTGTATGACCTATGCACATCTTCCTGTATACCTTAAATTGTTTCTAGATTAATTTATGATACCTGAGACAATTTAATTATTCTACAAATAATTGTTAAACTGTATTTTAAAAAAAATAATGGTTAGAAAAACTCACGTTTTTAGTATTTTCAATCTGTGGTCGGTTGACTTCATGAGGGAGAACTGTTAGATATGGAAGACATATGGTGCTTTAACCAAAATGACTTATTGCACAAGAGAAGCAGATATTAGCACCAGTCTTCTTCTCATCAAAGCCTACTATTTAGAAAATGCAAAAATAAGGTGACACTTTCTTAATTCTTAATTTTGAAAAGTAGATAGTTTTCTAAAAGTGTTTAACATCTAATGGGTTTATTTTTATTTTGAAAATAAATGTGCATATTTAACCTTATTGCTGGTGTGGTAAGTATCAATAAATATAACTTTTATAAACTTAATTTGGATCCTCAGTAATTTCTTAAAATGTGAACGGGTTCTGAGTCCGCATAATTTTCAGAACAACTGCTCTAATCTATTCATTCTGAAGTAGTCATTTTTTGAAACATAGAACTAAGAGTGTTTAGTATGGAGATTATACCATGCACAAAGAAATTAACAGTTCCATGTGAAGTCAGGTAATTATTGAGAGTAACATCTTTGCCATTGTCTAACTATGCAAAATTCCCTTCAAAAACAAGCCTGTCATTATCCAGGCTAGAGTTTTTGCTGCAGTTTCTGCTTCCATTCCAAAGCCAATTATGCCAGAGGGACAAGGTCGGTATTTGAAGGACACTGTGATCTTGCTTTGAGATGACTGTCCCCAGTTTTGATTAAGCCTTTTTCGGGACCTACACTGCAAAATGCATTCCTTAAAATTTCAAGGAAGTGCAATTTCTTGGTGAGAGACAGACATTTCCCCCTGAATTGAAGTGGACGACTCCGTTTTCTAATTAAGACATTGCTATCTCAGAACTGAAGGAATCAACGGGACTTTGTAACATGGCCTTACTCAGGCCTGAGTGCAGATTAAAGAGGCCCAGGGAAATTTTAAACTGTCAAGTCTTTAACTGTCTACTCTTGATACTGGTGGTCACTTAAAGTAGGGGAACGTGTGTGACGAAATGCACAATCATTAGTTCACAACTCTGGCTCTGGTGAATTTTATACCTTTTTTCTTGGATAATTTAATAGTGTAGGACATGTAATAATTTTTATGCTTTCATTGAAAATTTAAGTGAATCTCAAGGACAAATCGCTGAAAAAGTTAAGTATAGACATTAGATTTTTTTTCCATCATTGTTAATTTTTAGAGGAATAAGTACATGTATGGCTGTAATTTTGCTGATGCTGACTCTAACACTTATCAATGAATGGTAAGTACTTAAACTTCTTTACCTCAGTTCCTTCACTTTTAATACAGTGATAATAATGTTTGCGCACATTGTGTGCTTTTTGAAGATTAAGTGTGTGTGTGCATGTGTGTGTACACACGTGTGCATGCCGAAGAATAGTGACTGGAACATAAAAAATGTCCAGCCACGCTAGCTACACAGAATGTAGATATATATTAGCTATATGGTGATGACATTTATTTTCTTAATAAGGTTTTAACCTCAGAAATTTTGGTTTTCTTCTTAATAAAATAGGAAAATGGATGGGATATGTTTTTTCTTTCATCTTCATCACCATTTTTAATTTCCATGATGATAGCCATCGTAACTTCTTTCCTGACTTTATGATTTTCATTGATCTAGCTATTAATAAATTTTTAAGTAGTCCCTAATCATTCTTATACTTTTTTCTTAACACTATTTCATAAGTTAAACTCTTTTTGACCGGCGTCTACTCATGAGGCTCTATGTTGGTTGCTTTCACTAAAGTTCTCAATATGCACCTTTTTCTGGCTCCAGAAACAGCTTTTGACTTTGCTCACACCCACTTGGCTCCCTTCTGGCCTTTGTTAATGGGCTGGGGAAATACTTCCGGGCGCTCGCAGTTGGAAGGAGGAGAGATTTAATTTGGCTCGCGGGTTTAGAGATTTCATTCCATCATTGCTGGCTCCAAAGCAAAGCAGGGCTTGGTGGCAGAAAGCGTCACAGTGTCTCAGAAGCAGAGCGTGTTGGGGAGAGCTTGGGAAGAAGCAGGCAAGAACAAACAGTCCCCAAGGTGGTGGGCCCATGACCCACTCCCTCCAATTAGACCCCACTTCCTGGCGTCCCATTCCACTAGGAGCACATAAATGGGTTGTTCCATGCTTGAGCGTAGCACCCTCACCCCGCAATCACCTCTCCAGGCGTCCTGAAAACCAGCCAATTTGACAATCGAGATTAATCAGTGCCGTTAACTGTCGCTTCCTTCTCTAGCTCTCCCTCTGAGTTGCCTTTCTTAAGGCTGGATTCTTTTTCTCCACTCCTGTCCAGCCTCTACCTTTGATGATGTTTTCTAGATGCTGGACTGAAGTCGCCTTTCTCTTCTTATATGCTTTAGCTGGTGACAGCATCCATCCACTCTTTCATTTCCAACTGTCATAGTGCCATAACCGCCACGGAGGTAAGGAACGTCCTCAGCGCTCCACGTCCCCTTCTGCCGCTTTGCTCAGCTGCTGCCCCATCCCGGCGATCCCGGCTCACATAGTGCCTCAGTGCTGTCTGACACAATCTATCAGCTGACATTTTGCAGAATTTTATATAAATAAGGGAATAATACAGCGTGGCCTCATATTTCTGTGATTTCTTTCAGCACCATCGGGAGAGCTCTTCTTGTTACGCAGTATAAAAGTTCTTTTCTCTTGCCACATCTACTTTGCCTTGTGAATAGACCACAACTTGTTTATCTTTTTGCCTGTTGACAGGACTTTGGGCTGTTTCCAATTTGGGGGTTTAGCAATGGAATCTGTGAAGAATTGTGTGGAGCTCTTTTTATAGGAGCAGCTCTTCTGTTTCTTCAGTGAGTGAAGACTGAGTCACATGGCAGACATTGACACAGCCTTTTCTGAATGGTGTGACACTCTCCATTTCTAGCTGCAGAGCATGGGGATCCCTTCAAGAAGTCAGCCCTCTTAAACCACCCATTGATGTGGGTCTGCAAAGGTGTTGCGTTGTGAATCCACCTGCACTTCTCTAATAGATAATGATGTTGAACATATTTTATGTGTTACTGAGTGTAATTCACATTTTATGCTGAGTGGTTTACTGATACAATGTGTCCATTTTAATTGGATATTCTATTATTCTACAATTTGGGGTATTCCTTATATATTCTGCATACAATTCTTTACCAAATGTGTGTTCGCAAATATTACCTCTATGTCTATTTGTTTATTGTCAGAATAGTGTTTATATGAAAAACAGGTATTCAATTTTTTTTTGGGGGGGTGGTACCGGAGATCGAACTCAGGACTTTGTAAGGCAGGCACAGTGCCACTGAGCTAAATCCCTGGCCTGAATTTGATGAATACAACTTAGTAACATATTCTTTCATACATTATATTTTTCTTGTACTATTCAGGGAATTTTCCATTTACTTGGGGTTATGAAGGATTTATCCTATATTTTCAATTAGAAATGAAAAATGTATATAAGTATAAATATATAATTGTTATTTTGTCCATTAAAATAGAAAACCATATAGAGAGTCTGCCCAAAAAATGTATACAATTCAGGAAAAGAAAAACTCATGTAAATATTTTAATACTGTTTGTTGTGATATCATGAGATTAATACAAGTTACCTCTGGCCTGTACAGTGAAAAGAACGGCTCGAAGTGGTGGCCCTGAGCTTCCAGATGTTTATCAGTAGGGCAAACTGCTGCCTGGGTGACCTTGGTCATTGACATTGGTGCACATAAAGATTTAGTTTCTTCTCTAAGGTCAGCATTGTAGTGGGTTTTCTGTGATATATGACATCCCCCATGTGAAGGTAACACCATCTGCTGAACAAACATCATACTATTTTTCTGAAGTGTTTATGCATTTTTTGATGGTCTCTCTGTGTCTCTGTCTCTCTCTCTCTATTTTTTTTTAAGTCATGAAGATATAAGAAGTATAAGGGAAGGCAGTGTCAGGCGTGAGTGGCTGAGCTGTGCTCTTCACAATGTAAATCTCGCACATGCAGACCATTTGTTGAATCAGCAACCGTGGTCATGTTTGTGGTAAGCAGAGTGAGAACCCCCCCCCCCACACACACACACATCCGTGCCCCACTCCCTAGAACCTGTGCAAATGTTTCTTTCCATGACTTAAAAAACTCAGCCGATGTGATCAGAGTTCTGGAACCTGAGATGAAAAGATGACCTGCATGGGCCCTGTCTAGCCTCGAGCACTGAATAGCAGAGAACCCTTCCCAGCTGAGTCTGAGGAACCTGCAGTCCCAGCTAAAAGGTTTGAAGACCATGAAGACAGAAGATCCACAAGCCATTGAAGCTGGTGGCCTGGCCATTAGGAGCTGGAAAAGGAGAAGAAAAGAAAAGGTCTCACCTTGTAGACCACCTTGTAGAGAGACATGCAGCCCTGCCTGAAGCAGGAAGGAAACTGTAATCTGATACGGCATCAGCAGGAAACTAGCATAAATTTGCATTAATTGTTGTTTCTTCCATTAAAATAAAAAACTTACTTTATTCAGCAAATTTTTGAAAGAATAAAAGAAAACTTACAATGACTATTTCTTGTATGAAAATTAGAGAATTAGGATAAAAACTTAAATGATATAATACATCCCATTATATGTACTAGAGATAGACGTCAATTTTTTAATAGAAACACATGAAAAGAAAGTATTGCAACTTGTTCTTTGCAATTAGTATAATATGATCATCTTTATTGGCCAATAAACATATGTCTACAAGGTAATTTGACTTATATTTTATTTTTACTACATCTATTCCTACTGCAGTTTCCCCCAAAAGATTTCTAAAGTATTATTACATTTACATATGTTTTTCAATATTTTGATGCTTCTAGAATATGCTTCTATTAATAAAGGTATATGAGTGCATTGCCTATAATATTATCCACAAGTTTATCTTATTTATTAAAATTCTCATTAAAATAAAGATAAGTGTATAAAAGACAGTTACCTCCAGCTGTCAATACTTTGGTGCCAAATATCTTGGTGTTTTGTTTTAGTCCATACATTTGCCTACAAAATAGTTTTAGTGTGCTTCATTGACAAGATACCATCAATATTCTTACAAATTACTGTTTGAAAGACTCTATATCATTAAAGCAGGTAAACATTTCATTATTCAACACGTACTCTGTAGATACTGTAGATAGGCCTTTTTCCTTTTTTGCTAGTATAAGTGTTCCTGATATCTTTGGTCTTGTATGTATAGCTTTCTACATTTTATTTGGTTATTTTCTTATGATGAATTCTTTAGAAGTCACTTTCTTCCCCCAAAAGAATGTATCATTTGAAGGACTTGAATTCATATTACCAAATTTTCTTCAAGAAAATTTAATTCTGATCATGACTAGCAGACTATGAAGGGCAGATGTTACCTGTCTGTACAAATATTATTTTCTTTGCCTATAGAAAATATACTGTCTCTGGATTTCCACAGTTCAAGGAGAAAGACGCTAGCCCTGTGTAGAGATAAATTCTGATTTATGTGAGCCTACTATGCTAAGTCACATACTTTTGCCTTTGCCAATGACTGTTTTAAGAGTTAGGACCATAATCCTGTTCTGACCAAAATCTTCTACAAATGACTTCTTTGCTCTTAAAAAGAGATGTAGCAACTCCTCTTTCCTTATGCCAAATTATACTTTTCTGTATTTTTTATCATTTTACAAGGCTTTTGAATCTCAATTCTTCCTTCTCTGATGTTTTGCATGTGAGTCCTGGCTTCCTAAATCTCATCACTGTGAAGTCACACAGCATGCCTCATGTTTGAGAGTATTTTATTGGGTTATTTCATAGTTCATTAGAAGAAGCACATTTTAAATAGTTCAGCTGAGAATAAAAACACCACGAAGGGCTGCAAAGCTGTGCTGTAAGTTTAGCATAACTACTCAGGTCTCCGCTTAGCTATAAAACCATTAGGTGTGACTGGGTCATTAGTAATGATAACATCTCCTTTGAAACATATGTACCTCAGTCCACGGCAGTTCAGTTAGCTTTCGCTCTGTGCATCTCTGGTAAGAGTCAGTGTATTTCTGAGAGCTGTTCTAGTAGTCTTTCCCTCTTCTTAAGGAAGTACTTGATTATTCTGCAGTATTTCATTATCCAAGATAACTTGGGGGTGTCCCACTGTCTACAGTGACCAGCACCATGCCTTGTGTAACGTCTGAATTTATTTCCTGGATTTCACCTTCCAACTCCTCTCCTACAAACCCCTCTCCCTCAGTGCCACCTACACTGCCAAACTTTCTCTGCTGTACATTACATGTCTATCTTCCCCTCACACCTTCAATATTTCTTCTTTCCATCTGATTAAAAAACATTATTCTTAACTATGATCTGTGGATTTGGGGATGAATTTAGAGAACAAGATGCAAATTTCAAAACTAATTTGTATGAACAGTCCAGATTCCACACTGTTTCCACTTTCTAAAGCTATAGGTTGAGAGGATATTCCTTGCCTGCTTAATCAATGAAGTAAAAACTGCTGGTGTCAGACCTCCCTTGACAAAGATTACCTGTAGAAAGGGCACCACATGTTGGCTTTTCATTACTGTCACAAATTCTTAAGATAAAGCAAGGCAAAACCTTTCACCTCACGTGGAGGGAGGGAGGGAAAAAGGGGGGGAGGAGGGAAGAGAGATAGACACACGGGTGCTGAGATCTGCTCACCCCATGGTCAAGAAGAGAGACGGGCTCCAGGGTCCTGCAGTTCCCTTAGGGTACAGCCCGGTGACCCCCATAAATACCTCCCACCAGGACCCACCTGCAGGGGCACCAAGCTGGGGCCATGTCCCTGGCACCTGTGTCTTGAGGTGACATTGTAGGCCTGAACTGCAGTACCACAGATCCCTTCATTAAGTAAAGGCCAAGAAACCAGAGGCAGGTTTTATTTTTAAGTTTTCAAAGTAAAAACTTTTGAAGAAATTCTTTAATGCCTCTGGCAATTGTACTGTCAAAAACTAGTTAATCATAAATTTAATAATTTAAATTGCTCTTTTTTCAAAAATGGATTTGTATGCAACACTTAGTGTACCTCGACTCACTTGGTAGTTTAGTGCATGCTTCCCCAAAGTGTTGATCAGTGTTTGCTCAAAATAGATTGCACCACCGTGTGCATTCATGCCCCGCTCCACAATGCTAATCAGTTCTGAAGAAGCTGAATTTGTATTTTTAACTTGAGTTTCAAATAAAATGTCTTTGTCCAGAATTCTTCCTCAGGTAATTTCACTTTCTCTGATTCTGCTTCCCTGGACCACAGGCCTCTTTTCTATGCCTAAATTCACTACGGTGTCAGCAATAGCAAGGTCCAACTGGAGGGACAACTTGCTCACCTTTCTTTTGTCCCAGGCACAGATGTAAATCGTTCTCATATATTTGCTCCTGCAGTCGCTCTAGAGCATCCGTGTGAGCTGCTGCTTTTATCATTTCTGCTTACCAGTAAAGAAAATATCCAGAGTCCAGAGATGTCAGATGCTTTGCTGGCCTAGGTGTATGTTGGGGCCGGTCCTTGGATGCAGGTCTGTGTTACTGCAATGCCCAAGGACATTTCCAGAGTGTCCAGAGCCTTTGTCTTCATGCCTATCAAAGCGTACTTATTCTCACCAGCGTTGGACAGTTTTCTAGCATAACGTCTCCTAATAGTGCTGTTTTGACTTCATACGCGTACTATCTTGTGCAATTCTTAACTTGTAAAAGTAGTTTAAGATGACATCGCCTTGACTGAATTGTTCAGAAAATAATTTCCTGCCTCCTTCAAAAAGGTGGTTGGAAAAAATAATGTTGAAGTACATTAATTTATTTGGGATTTGAATCATAAGTTTGTGGGTTTTTTCTTATAAAGGCCTTTGATCTTGCATTTAATGCAAATTAAATCAGGCTCAAAACATGCCATATTTTCTAGGTCTTTATCAGCTTATTTCTACAGTGATAAACTCTTCTTGCTTACCTGTTCCTAATGTCATTCTTTTTTTTGTAAGAAATAAAAAGACATCCTAATAATATCTTTAAAAATGTCATAGGTCATTTTCTAGAAAATATAAATATTATAAATCAGTTTTAATGTGAAGATGTCCATATGTGGCAGCTGTGCATCTGGGATGTACAGATTTAATGTTTGGTCATCATCACCAAGATACATGAATGCACGAGTATAACCTGAAACTGTGACTCTTCATGGTGTGATCACACTAGAAAATCTGTTCCCACTCCTGACCCTGCTGGGAGTAACCGCGCTTCTCCACTGTAACTAGACTTCCTTTTTGCCATGACAGATATTATATTTAGAAACTCATTCTGATGCAAAAACACTGTTCCATGGAAGCCATTAAAATATAACTGGCTTGTGTTTAGTCTTATTAATAAGCTTGAATAGTCTGTGGAGTGGAAAATAGGCGTTCTTTTGTGTATTCGTTCTTCTCTTGAATTCCATTGTTAACTTCAGCCTGAATCACATCACTTTGCGTGATCTCTCTCTTGATAATTGCAAGCAGAGAAGGCAGCAGCCTTCAGAGGCTCCTTTTCTTCCCCAGACCCCCTGAAGCACACACCTGTATGTCGCTGTCTCTGCCACCATGAAAAAGGGTCATTATTTTATCTGGCAAAGGAGAAATATTCTTCCTGCCAGAATTCATGGTAACAAATCAGCCCCACCATTGAACAATGTCCTTTGCGTATTAATATGAGAGCAGAGTTTTGAGCCATTTTCCAGAGAACTGGCACCATCCGCTCTGTCTCATTTCCTCCTGTGCAGGTGACTCAGAAGTGAACCCTGCAACAGCCCTTCTTCCGGCTCTAACTTTTCTATTCCTACCGTCTACGTATTTTTAGGCTATCATGGAGGAAACAAAATCTGAATTTTCTTCCCCAACTTCTTCATGTTTTAGGTTGGGGTCATTATTGTAACCAACAAAAAAGAAAATCAATCGTTAGGAGTAAAATACAGACTTAAAATAGGTTAAATAATACAAAGGAGAATGTACTTTGTATTGAAATATTAAGGAGAAAAATACAAAGTTAAGGAATCTGTAACAAAAAATCTATTTTTTGTTGCACATTGGATTTTTATTGTATTTTTCTTAGGACACTCAGTTACTAAATAGGAAACTGAGCCAGTGAACTGTGTTTTGTTCTTAAATGTGTTTATAACTTAAATCCTTTACAACATTAAAATATATATCAAGTTTAAGAAAAGGATAAACAAAAAAGACCTCTCCCTGAAAACTTAAAGAAGTAAGGAATCATCAGAACATCTGTTATTATCATCATCGCCGTGTGTGTGTGTGGTGTTGGAGACTCACACCTCTACCAGTCTCAATTCCCAGCCCCCAGACATCTAGATTTATTTGTTTTAATGGAAGAGCTTGTCACGGCTTTTCAGAACTGCTATTCAGAACTGCTTTAAGTTTGGAGGAATATACTTTTTATTATATACTGTTTTAAAGATAATGAGAGATAAAGCTGTAGAATATATAGCCATCACAGGACTGATTTTCACAAATATTTATGGAATACTGCATTTAAAATTAAGCAAAAGACCAATTCCTTGTCTTCCTAGCTCATTCTAATTTATATACTGCAGGGTTTTTCAATAGATGTAAGTCTTATATCCTGGATAATATGCATTATATTAAAATTTTTTTGTTGAATAACAACACACACACACACACATATATATATATGTGTAGCACATATATGTATGTAGTTTTATT